TCCAGAGGACGCTGACTGAGCGATGAGTAACGCTGAGTAAGGGAGCATAATCGACATAAGGTCAGATAGTCCATGGCTGAGTAATGCGAGTAATCCGGACGCTGTCTAGAATAGTCCGGAACATCGTAGAACGTACCAGAATCATATGGAGGGATGGCAGGATGCCAAGTAAGTACAGAACAAAAGAATGTACGTATATGGTAAGTAGGAAAGTCCATGCTGGCGTATGGTAGACGCACAGCCACTATCACTGCCACTCCCGGTCCGGCACAGCCGTAGACACAGAAGTTCAACAAGAAGGTGGGAGAGACTCCGGAATGGCAAGCTCAGGATCGAGTAGATCATCGTTTGTTCCTTCGAGCTCTGAGACCTCTAGCTGCGAGGCTGAATCCGCGATGGGAACAAGGCCAGTCGGCACATCCCCGTGTTCGAAGTTCGTATCGTTCGTATTTGCTGGGGAGGCGATGATGCCATAGTCAATCAGACACCTTTTGACCGTGTGGCGATGAACTCCAAGGAAGCGTGCGATCCCTGAGATGCTACGTTGTGTGTAGGCCCAGGCGAGGAAGTCGGGGTCGATATGTATCATTGGGCGTCCCCGCTGTCCAGGTTCCAGCTTTTCCTCATGAACGACAGTCGGGGGTTCCCGATGAGCCTCAGAAAGGATGTCGCGACACTGCAGCTGAAGATCGTTGCGCATTGCTGCGAGATTGATCAAAGTCTGCTGTGCTTCATCGTTGTCGAAGATATGGATATGCTATGATATCAATTAGGCGAAAACATTCATTGAAGTTCCAATATTGTATTCAAATGGATGATACCTCATGAACCAGCGCAGTGAACTCGTCGACACGATCCTGCAATCTCTCCAACATTGTTGTGTCGCTGCCGTGCGCAAAGGCCTGCCGGATTGTCCCTTCGAGGATATGGTACTGGCGTCGGAACTCATTGAGCAACGGTTGAGAATTAGGTGGATTCATGGTATAGTATGACTAGAATGGCTAGATGACAGGTCACTAGTGGATGAGAGTCGACGAGTTGCCAGATGCCAGTGCTTGTCTGCGTTGCTCTGGCACACCGCGTCTAACCCTAACCTGTCACCACAGGAACCCCATCGAATCATGACGCTTGCGACAACACGGCTGCTTGCTCTGCTGGAAACCCTGCTGTCGATGGCGCAAGACCAAGACCTCATTCTCACAATCTTTGATAATGTAACTCAACTACATAATACAGCCTTGGCTGCAAACAGTATGTTCTAATCCAGTCGCTTAAACTTCTATGGCACTCACTTCGGGCTTGCTCGGAATCGTTCGACATTTGATATGTCCTATTCCATAGCTCATTTACCAGTGGAATCTCAGTCTGTCATGGATTTTGATCTCACCTTTTCTGAACGGCGTGAATACCCTCCGGATGGTGAGTTATGTCTGGAGTTGAGCATCATGGGACGACTTCACTGACTCGGAAATGCGGTCAACGCAGTTGATAGCATACCCGGCCCAATTCCAGACGTAGCATTCCCAGTTTCTTGCACAATCATCAGAAACGGCATCTCGACTGGATGGGAGTGTACAGACGCTCTTTTCACTCCTAATATCCTCCTTTGTGCATCCCAAATCGAGTCAACATCCGATCACGTTCGGGTGGTCTCGTTGGGCGCCCTGCTCAGCGCACTTTATCAGCACTGTGTGGCCTCCCCTTTACCTTATATCTCGGAATATCCTTGGATCCAGTCTTTCCTATCCGACACTACATTCCCTCATGGCTTACTGTTTGCAACTGCCCGTGTTCTTCCGCCAAGTGGTGTAAACCATCGCTCTCCCGAGTTTGGCTACCGCCGACTTGTAGCTCCGGATTCTCTCTCCCTGGTCGGCTTCCAAGAGAGGTCTCACCCTTCCTCATTTGATCTGTCTCATGATCTGGTCTCTGTGGATCCTTCCGATGCAGCAGTCCAAGAACTTGCGCATATCTGGCAGCCACTCGGATTTTGCGCGGACCGGCATTTCATTCTCTACCTAGAGCAGAAGACGAGCCCCGACACAAATGCAATCACCTGGGATGAGGATTTCCAATCTGTACGACCTTTTTCGTGTGATTTTACTAACACTGACCCAATTCGAACATCCAGATACAAGACGGCAGTTTTCATCCTACGCCAGATCTTTTCACGCAAGCAGCAGTTCAGCAGGTGCGGTCTGTCCCATGATTAAAACTCAAGCACGGCACTAAAAGACCATGTGCAATTTAGAACTCGTCACCTCCCCGAAGCTATGCGTCTACACCGCACCATTTGGGTGCATTTGTTTTGGATACGAGCAGCACTGAAGTTCCCTTCGAGGTAGGTAGCCTTACGTCGTAAACCTGGCTAGTACTACATTGACATATGTGATAGCAGACATCCCTGGATGCGCTTCTTACACCAGGCCTGTCAATTGACACCGTCTGCTCTGTACGGGGTGTATCTCCTGAGCTGGTTCTCGATGCCCACTTCCAGTCTAGGCATGGGTGTGCTACAGCCCTCCCTTTCATGGCTCGCAATCACGCAGCAATGGTCCAGGTTCTAAAGGCTCTTGGTCTGGACCCACATGATCCCAACGGTTCGGTAACATACCAGGGTGGACTGTCATTGACGATCATTGATGTCCTCCTCTGCTTTGGTTGGACGACGGCCACGTTCAACAAACGAGGACGAGTCTACCGGGCAGCAGCAGCAATTGCACGCTGCTCATGGCCGGCAAACCAAGGTGCGTTCACAGCTTGTAGTGCGGCAATTTCGCTGATGATTGAAATGTGTTACTCACATTATCAGTTCAAGATGACCATCTGTATGCTGTTTGGACGCATATCACTCATCTTTGGACGTCTGAAGGAACTCTCGCTCCGCAATCTTCAGTCACTGGAATGGAGAGCATGGCTTTCAGCCAACGTGATCTTGAGACACATTACGTTGCGTTACAGAAGTTGCTCGGAATACACAGATACTCTTAGTTTCTCTATTTGGAGCATGGACTCCTAGTTGACATTACCATGCATGTTTGCCAAATTATATGCTGCCTTGACGAATATTGACTCTGTTAACTTGTCATGGAAATGCACTCGTGCACGTTCCGTCACGCGTGCATGGCGGTACAAAGCGGACGCAGCACACGGCCGTCTTTCAGTACGATATGTTCCCGTTACGGTGATGTGCAGCCCGTGGCGCTGGGCGGTCCATGGGCTTGTTTGCAAGTTCGAGGCCGCCGTGGCATTTGCGGACTCAGTGAGAGATCCGCGTGTTTCATGCCTGTTCCGGCGACTCCGTTGTGGCACTTACATTTATATTTCAATCCGTCTTCTAGGTCCGTCATCCCGCGCATGCGGAATTGTTGTGCGGCCTGGCCGCATGGCCGCAGGAAGCCTTCGAGTTTGCTTACGATATAGCAAGGCCTTTCTTACTTATCTACGGCCATTTAGTTACTCGTCTACTTGTTTTGTTTATCTTGGCGTTTACTGACTACACCGCGCTTATTAGCACATTAGAAGTTTTCTTTTACTCTTTACTATAAGTACTAGTCTCGTAGAAGCTCCGTAATATCATCATTATATCCTCCACTCACTTCATTCTCCTCGTCAACCTCTCAACAGGAATTGCAGCGCATCGCGATTCCAACACATTTGACACGTGGGATCGACATGTTCAGTAGTTTCTCGCGGCACGCACACTCCACATGATTGCGTCACTGATGGGTAGCCCGCAGCACTGGCCGGACCGTACCAGTCAGTCTGCGGGCAACACCAGTGTTTCTTCTGCGAGGTTAGAGCCGAGCGCGGACGAAGTCTGAACGAGAAACGAGTGAGCTCAGCGTTCGGGGAAAGAACGATGATATTGTGTCAGTAGCTACCTGAACGAGAAACGAGTGAGCTACAGACGTGCGTCAGCTAAACGACAAGGAGTGGGAATGCGCGCAGGGAGCTCACCTCAGCGTTCGGGGAAAGAACGATGAGGTGCCTGCGCGCGGTCGGCGAGGTATATGAGAGCGAGGGCGGACACCACTATCGATGAGGCGCTGGCCGCGATTCGCGGATAAGCGGACCTATCGGTCCGAGGACTCGTGCGCTTTGAAAGTAAGTAAACGAACGTATGTGAGTAAGTAATGAGTAAGTAACGAATGTAAGTGGTATAGTAAGCAATAAGTACAACACGCCCCCTCAAAGCGTACGCAGGCCGAAGAGCGCGGAGAGGTGTTCAATCCGCGGCCGGGGCAGAGCCTTCGTGAAGAGGTCTGCGGGCATGTCCTTGGTGCGACGGTGCTTGAGCGCGATCTTGCCGTCGTCTACCGCTTCGCGAATGAAGTGGAAGCGGATGTTGATGTGCTTGGTGCGCGGGTGGAACACGTTGTCCTTGGCGAGTGCGATGGCGGAGCGGTTGTCGCCGTAGAGAGTGAGCGGGTGCTTCACAACATTGGGGTCGAGCATGTCGGCGAGAAGATAGCGCAGCCAGAGCGCCTCCTTCGACACGTGCGTGAGGGCAATATACTCGGCCTCGGTGCTGGACAAGGCGACGACATTTTGCTTCTTTGAGGACCACGAGACGGCGCCGCCGTCGATCGTGTAGACGTACCCGCTGATGGAGTGGCGGTGGTCAGTCAACGAGCCCCAGTCGGCGTCCGAAAAGCCTCGGAGGCTCTCGCGCACGCCACCGTAGACGAGCCAATGCTCGTGGGTTCCCTTCAGGTATCGAAGGACACGCTTGACGGCTTCCCAGTGCGGGCGGCCGGGGTTTTGCATGAACTGCGACAAGGCAGTCACCGCAAACGTGATGTCCGGGCGGCTGCCCATGGCGGCGTACATGAGTGACCCGACAGCCTCGCAATAGGGCATGTCGCGCATGTCTTCGTACTGGCGCGGGGTTGCAGGTGACTGGTGGTGGCCGAGTCCGCCCCCGGGCTGCAGGGGCGTCGACGCAGTGTTCGCGTTCTCGAGGTTGAAGCGTGCGACAATGGCGTCGAGGTACGACCGCTGTGAGATCGCGATCGTCCTGGCACTGCGGTCGCGCCGTACTTCGATGCCGAGGATCCAGCGCATGGCGCCTAGGTCGCTCATTTCGAAGCGGGCGCTAATGTCAGCCTTGAAGCTGAATGCGAGGTCCTTCGTGCCTGCGATTGTGAGGTCATCGACAGAGGAGGCGACAATGAGCGCAGAGGCGCCGTCGTGTTTGTACCAGACGGCGTGGTCAGCGTCGCAGCGAGTGAAATGCATCGCGCGCATCGCTTCCGAGAGCGTCTTGTACCAACCACGACCGGCTTGCTTCAGGCCGTAGAGTGTCTTCTTCAGCCGGCAGACGAGGTGCTCCTGTCCGCTTGCAGCAGATCCTGGTGGCTGTCGCATGAAGATCTCCTCGTCGAGCTTGCCGTTGAGGTATGCGGACTTCACGTCCATCTGTTCGAGCTCCCAGTCGTAGCGAGCAGTGAGCGCAAGGATGGTGCGAATCGAGGCGAGCTTGGCGACGGGTGCGAAGGTTTCGTTAAAGTCGACGCCGGGCATCTGCGTGAAGCCTTGTGCGACGAGGCGGGCCTTGTACTGAGTGATCGAGCCCTCCGCGTCACGCTTGATGCGGAACACGAAACGGCTGCCCACGATGTTTGTGTTGTGAGGCGGCTCGACCAGGTCGTAGGTGTCGTGCTCGCGAAGGTTGTCAATCTCCTTGGCAATCGCGTTCTCCTAGTGCGGCCAGTCCGGCGAAGCCTGCGCCTCGGCGAGAGTGCGGGGCTCCTGTCCTTCGTGAATCACCAGCGCAGCGTCCATTGCAGCGAAGCCGTACTCGAGCGCAGGGCGTGCGGGCTCCTGCTCGTCGCTTTCGCTTTCTTCGTCGTCCCACAGCGCTGCTAAGCCGTAGCTCTCCTCTGTAGCTACCAGCGTTGCGAGCGCAGTCACCGTCGCAGCTCCCATGAGCTCTCTCGCCTGGACGCCTCTTGGATGTCTCGAGTGGCGGCCATCG